GAGGGGAGCAGGTTTAACTGAATGCATTGCGTTTGTAAGCCTACTGACGTATGAGGTGTGATCTACCGCTGGTGGGAAGCTCGAGGGAGAAACAAACTCACCTGGCAGTCGTAGTGTCGTGCCATATACTAACTCAGAGGTAGTACAACCAACATCGGTTCTTAAGGCGTTTCGTATCCCTGGGAGAACTAACGGAAGGGATTCAGTCCAATGGGTGTTATTTGCGGCTGATAAGCCAGCTTTCAACTGTCTGTGTAGACGTTCTACCATACCATTAGCTTGAGGATGGTAGACTGTCGTTCGAAAACGCATGCAACCAAGAATTTTAGTCAGATCGAAGAATAAACCACTTTCGAATTGCCGCCCACGATCAGTTGTTATGGAAGATGGCCATCCAAATTTTGCGATCCATCTTTCTACGAAGACGCGTGCGACGGTTTCAGCAGATATATCCTTGATGGGTACTGCTTCAGGCCATCGTGTGAAGCGATCGATGCAGGTTAACATATAGGTATATCCATGAGATTCTGGAAGGGGGCCAACTAAATCTATATGGACGTGTTCGAAACGGGCATCTGGGATAAGAAAGGTGCCAAGGGGGCTTTTGGTGTGTCTTATTATCTTGCACTTTTGGCAAGCTAAGCACGTCTGTGCCCATTCTCTTACTTCCTTATTAATACCAGGCCAACAAAACCGACTAGTTACGAGCTTGACGGTAGTTCGAATACCTGGGTGTGATAAGCCATGCAACGTATTGAAGACGTTACGGCGATAACTTTTAGGCACGATGGGGCGAGGAGTACTAGTGGGAACGTCGCAGATAATAGTATCTTCTCCTATACCTAAGGGTTTCTCGGCTAATTGTGGAGTTGTTTTCGACAACCCTTGCTGAAGCTCGGTATCTTCTTTTTGAAGACGAGCCAGTTTCACAAGGTCTATGCCGTCGATTTGGGTGAAGGAACAAATACGTGACAAGGCATCTGCCACAGTGTTGTTCACTCCCGAAACATGGCGAAAATCCGATGTAAACTGTGAAACGTAATCCAGTTGTCGTGATTCCCTGGGTGAATACTTATCTGAAGTTGAGTTCAGAGAGTACGTCAGAGGTTTGTGGTCAGTGAAAATTATGAATTCACGACCCTCCACTGAATGTCGAAAATGGCGTATAGCACAGTACATAGCTAGAAGTTCTCATCCAAATGTGCTGTACTTCGTTTCAGCTAATTGAAGGCGCCTCGAGAAAAAGGCCGTTTATTCTTCGATCTGACTAAAATTCTTGGTTGCATGCGTTTTCGAACGACAGTCTACCATCCTCAAGCTAATGGTATGGTAGAACGTCTACACAGACAGTTGAAAGCTGGCTTATCAGCTGCAAATAACACCCATTGGACTGAATCCCTTCCGTTAGTTCTCCCAGGGATACGAAACGCCTTAAGAACCGATGTTGGTTGTACTACCTCTGAGTTAGTATATGGCACGACACTACGACTGCCAGGTGAGTTTGTTTCTCCCTCGAGCTTCCCACCAGCGGTAGATCACACCTCATACGTCAGTAGGCTTACAAACGCAATGCATTCAGTTAAACCTGCTCCCCTCCGACCACAGTCCATTGATGTTTTCGTTCGCCCCTGTTTAAAAACTTCTTCACACGTATTTGTTCGTCGCGACTCTGTGCGTCGCCCTCTAGAACCCCCGTATGACGGACCATATAAAGCAATTAAACGTACGGATAAATTCTTCGTCTTATACAAGAAAGGCCGCGAAGACACCGTTAGTATCGACCGCCTGAAACCGGCTTACTTGGAAGGTAATTCTATTAGCCTAGAGCTAAACGTACCCCATAATCCACAAGTAATTGAATCTCCTTTAGTCTTCGAAGAACTCCCTAGCACGGCGAAAGCCACCGAAACTTCGGTCGAACAGTCCAAGAAAACGCGTTCTGGACGACACGTTAGATTCCCAGAATACCGTCACACCTATTTCACATAACTGAGTGGTGCGTTTCACCCAACTCATTATTTCTCCTCAGACACGTCAGTATTTTTATGTAGCATCACTTAACACAAGTAAACGATTTTTTCCTATAACCGTACATTAAACATGCACTTAGAAAAAAATTAAATTAGATGTATATTTGTTTTTCCGATATTTTGAACTTTGCATTATTTTACTGTATAGTAGATGCACGTCATTTTCTTTGGTAAAAACGCTTATTTGGTACATTTTCCTTGACAAGGTTCTCAGCATTCTTGTTTTCTTTTCCAGGTGCAACGGGCACTGGATAGGAAACAAACGAAGCACGGGATCCAACGAACAACATCGGGGAAGCTATGTACAGGCACCCTATTAGCATAGGCAGACAGACCAGCAGGCCCTGCATCAAGCCGCTCGGAAGATTTTTTCACCCATCAGGGAACAATCGAGATTTTTTTACTTCCGGCTGGTCATGTCTTAGGGTCCTCACAAACCCACTAGGGGGGAGTGAGCTGTAGCGGTAAATAATTCCCCAAAATTATTAACCACAGCAATCATCACTCAACATTGGATGCTGACACTCACTGTTTAAGTCGGTTTGTTTAGCTGAAGGCTTACGGTCAAGCATCCCCGCCATTTGGTACTCCGTCGTGTCACGTGCGTGCACGATTACTAGCTAGCTAAGCATTCACCTCTACTCGCGATTTTGTCCCGAAATATACTACGTACTTTGGACGACAAAATTTGGTCTTTTGCTTTATCTTTGATACTCGAAGAGCGAACGCTATAGAAGTTGTTCGTATAAGATCTTGCGTTAGTATAATCCGTACAACTCGTGAACGTCGATACCTGCAACCTCTAAACTGCTACAGAAACTTCAGCACGATGATTCTCCTTGCGCCAAAAGGAAAAGTCCGTGTGGGGACATGGAATGTGCGCACCATGTACGAGATCGGCAAAGCGGCCCAGATCGCAAACGAAATGAAAAGATACGGAATTCAAGTACTGGGGATATGTGAAAGCCGATGGAACGGGAATGGACTCATCAAATTGTCAGCGGGTGAGTCAGTGATCTACTCCGGTCACCCAGAAGATAACCACTCGCACACCGAGGACGTGGCTATCATGATGTCACCAACGGCAACGAAGGCCCTCATGCAATGGGAGGCGATCTCGCCCAGGATAATGACCGCCAGCATCAACTCCAAAAAAGGAAAGTATCAGTTATACAATGCTATGCACCGACAAACAACGCAGACCTCGAAAAGAAAGAAGAGATTTACAGACAACTACAGGCAACAATGGACAATACTCCAGTCGGCGACATTAAAATACTAATGGGAGACATGAAAGCCAAACTGGGATCAGACAACACAGGAAGGGAACTCATCATGGGTAGAGAAGCTCTCGGAGAAATGAATGAAAATGGAAAACTCTTCGCCGACTTCTGCGCCTTCAATGAACTAGTGATTGGTGGCAGCGTATACAAACACAAGGATATCCACAAAGCTACATGGGTGTCACCAGATGGGCGAACCGAAAACCAAATTGACTTCATCTCAATCTCAAGGAAGTGGAGGCGCAGCCTGCTGGACACAGGAGTAAGAAGAGGAGCAGACGTTGGCTCAGACCACTGTCTCATACAAGGGGTAATCCAAGTCAAATCGAAAGCTTTCAGAGAAACAGGAGCTGCAGATAGACCACAAGCCAAGTTCAACACTCAAAAACTGAAGGACCAGGACACAAAGGACATCTTCACTGCAAGCATAAAGGACAAATCAACACTAGCGAAGAGGTCAGCGTCGAAAAGCAGTGGAACAACTTGAAAACAGTGTGGAGTCAAACCTGCATGGAAGTTCTAGGCAGAAAGAAGAGACAGGACAAACAGTTGCTCATTACGGACACTGGGAGACTGATAGAAGAGAGATGGATGGTGAAACAAGAAATTCTCCAGTGTGCCTACGAGCAACAAAAACAGGATTTGAAGGCAAGCTACAAGACACTGAACAAAAGAGTGAAGAAGAGTGCCAGGGAAGACAAAAGGAAATATTATGAAGCCATGGCAAGTGAAGCAGAACAAGCTGCAGGCAAAGGATACCTCGTTACAGTCTACCAAACAACTAGGTACCTATCGGGCAAACGTTTGGCACAAATTAAGCCGCTGAAGGATGACAATTGAAAGTCAATCACCAAAGAAGTGGAGCAAAGGAAACGCTGGGCTGAACACTTCAAAAGACTCCTAAATCGACCACAACCTACAACGCGCCCAACAATACCAACGACGGAGACAGAGCTACCAGTGAACACCAACCCCCCGACGAAATCAGAAGTCCTGAAGGCAATCAAGATGCTAAAAGCTGGAAAAGCAGCAGGACCAGACGGAATCCCAGCAAAAGTATTGAAAATGGACCCACAGACAACAGCGGACTTGATGACGCCACTACTGGAGAAGGTGTGGAAAGAAGGCAAAGTACCCGAGGATTGGAAGAAAGGCTACTTATTCAAACTACCAAAGAGAGGAGACTTAAGTCAATGCAAGAACTGGCGTGGAATTATGCTCCTGTCCATCCAAAGCAAAATACTAAGCCGTATCATCCTGAAGAGAATCAAACATGCCCTGGTTGAAGAAATTCTACCGGAACAGGCTGGATTGAGGAGCCGCTACAGCAGCTTTGTTTACAGGTTAGGGTTGCTAGCCTCACGCCTGAGAAGGGGAGAGAGGAAAGGTTTGTGCTGCGTGATCGCAGAGCCCTGAAGACAACTGCTTGAGGCCGTTCACACGCGGCCTGTTTTTGTTTGTTCTTTCTTGTTTGGTGTGTCTTAGCAGCATATTTATCTCTTCTGCCCTGTTACACAGCTGGAGGAAGCGCGGTCGTTGTTATTCCGGGCCCCGACCGATCCGGCATGATATTTTGTGAGTTTGTTTGAATCATTGTATTGGATTGGATAACTGCTTTTTGTCTAACCGCTATCCAAACAACCTTTCTGGCATGGTAGGACCTACAGGAACATAAGTTCCAGCCACTGTAGCTCGTTGGGTCATTGCGATATGCAAGACTGACCACCATGTCGAGGTAGCAGCTATCGGTCGGGCTGCATATTATAGCGGTAGACTAATGAAAGAGAGAGAATAACTGGACATGCGACAACACATTCCTGACCTTTAATTTCTGTTTGTCTTCTTAAAATTCATTATATTAAGGAGGCCGGTAGGAACAAGTGATAACTGACTGTAGGGATATCCGGTAGGTTGTCGCGTGTTTCTTGTAGTTGCGTGTTTTTGTGTCATATTATGAGTGGTAATATGCAAACATTCTTGGTTACAGCCAGTTAATGTAGTGATCTGCACAAACATTTGTCACTAGTTGAAACCTTATGATAAGAAGATGGAGTATTTAAATCTCTTCCCATTATCATACCGAAGTAGAAGAGGAGACTTCATTTTGGCATACCGTATATTAAAGAGTGACTTAAGGATTGATCTTTCAAATGTTTTTCCTCCCTCTAGAATACATTTATGAGGTCACCAGAAGTAGGTGCTCAAACGAAGGACGAATAAAATACGTGTGGAATTTAGATCCTCACGAAGTGGTCAACGACTGTAAATCATCACCTGATCCAGTAGTAACAGCTCCATCGCATACCGCTTCCAAAGAGAAATTAAATCTCTTTTTAGAGATATATATCGCAAGGATCGACATAGGCGACAAAAGCCCACTATCCCTATAATCTGAATCTTTCCAAGCGTACAGTAATGCTGAAGTAAATCTCGCAAATTCTGAACTAACTCTGACTTTCTATAATGAGTGGATTCTGAAATGATTTGATTACGCGCACAAACCAGAACTCGGTGTTGGATTTCAGCAACCTCAACTGATTCATTCAAGAACGGTTTGGACAAGCACAAAATTTAATAGAACAGGAATAACATGAGCTCCAAGCCTTCTATCCCCAGCCAAGAAATCTGAATAACTGGCACTGATTTAGCACCCTGTTCTTTTTCTAGACGTTTTCAGAAGTAGCTCAGAACCTACTGTGTTTCCTTATCAGCCTTATTTCAGACCTCTTAGCCCAGATTCAGCGTGCAGTTCTCCTTTTAGGAACAACCACCGTTTTTTCAGTACATGCTGGTTTCATTTCAGGTATGAAACTATTCATTTGCCGTAAGAAAACATTATCGTCGCGTAGGTTAGAATTAATTAATTATCCACCTGAGCTACAAATCTTCTCTATCATATCTAATTTAGAATTGTTGTAAGCTTGGGATTGTAGGACTATGTACTTATAAGTGCACTATAGCCCAATCACACTTACGTAAGTTTGCTAAAACCAAATCCTGGCGTCAAAATACTTGGGTCCATATTTTGTACACACGAGCTCCTGTATTATCACTGCCCCCTTTGAGATTCATGTCATTAGTAATCAGTATTGTGGGGAAACCAGGTTTCGCACTACCATTTTTATCACTTGCATGCATGGCAGGCTGGGTGGCTGATCTTCGTGATGAAATATTCCGTCTCCCTTTAAAATTGTACATTGGTTTTATGCCGAAAATCCCGGAAATTTCATATCTGAATTAGTACGTGATTAATGCCGTCTACCGATGTCTTATGTAGTGCATTTTGGTGGTCTTTGGGATATCTAGGTAATTTCTGGATGTTGAATATGAAGTATAACGAAGAGAGGATGTTTGAGTCGAGGACTATATTTCACGACTGCGTAGTAGTTGCAGCCCAGTGATATGCAGCTTTTTAGGGAAATTATTGCAAGGGAAGCAGATAACCATGCAATCAGACCTCAGAGGAGTTTTCACTAATCGAATGCCACATACGTTTATCGTTTGTCACCGATCACTTATGTTGTCATGTCTGTGATTTACTGGCAAGTGGATGTGCGCTGAGTGATATTACCGAAATCCCATTCAGAAACTGACAACCTCTGCTTGATTTCCTCCGGTACTGTAAGCTTCTTAATGAACTAGTAGTGGAATTTGAATTAGGACTTGAATATATGGACATCCGATTGAGTTGATGTTTCGATCAGGTGAAGGAAAGACAAGTTTGTCGGACTATATGCGACTATGTAGACAGCTTGGTCATTGACTGACGGTAATAAATAATAAAGAGCCATATTGACGTGTTTTATGGTCGTGCAGTTTCTAATGCACATGAGAATATTTGAAACGTGACTCGCTTGACATTGCTGTAGAATCCCTCAAAGTTTTGATTGTGGTAAGAGAAATCGCTTGGAGCTTGAGTGAATTTACTTAACAAGCTGCATTCTCTGACTTTTGTTTCAGTCAAAGATGCCTCGACAGATTGACAACATAAAAGAATTTCTGCACATGACACAAAGGGCAGACGCCAAATGTAAGCCATTCAAAACTAATCGTAATTGTAATTTTTGAAGCCGTTAAAATCAAAGAGAATAAAGACAATGTCAAATTTAAAATTCGCTGCAGCCGATTTTTATACACACTTGTTGTAGTTGAAAAGGAGAAAGTTGGGAAGATTAAACGCTCACTCCCTCCAAGTAATTATAGTGAAGTACTGGCTAATCCTCACTCTTCCTTTAGATCTGACTGTCAAAGAACTGTAATGTGCTGTTGACAAATAAATACTTTGATAACGAAGTTAGTCTCATGATTTCCTGACGGTGTGTGCGAGTGTGACTATGAGGGAAGCTAGAATGAGACAGCTGCGATATCTATGACCACATGTGAAGCTGGGTTACAACACCTCACACCAAACTGAATTTCAGTTGCTGACGGCAACGACTAAGAAGTCAATAAAATTAGCGACTGTGGAAAGTTGCAGGATGAAAGAGGTGCAAGGAACAGAGTGAGGTCACACAAGATTGTAGTGCGTCAGATATGAGAGTTATTGCTTCTGCCCCACCGTGAATGGATTTTAGAGTATTCGTTTGTCTTGAGAAATGTTTGTAATTTGTTGGTGCATTCCAATGAGATGAATTACATTAATTGACGTTATTCATTGCGGCCTCGCAGAAAGAAGACTTAGAAACGAGTATAATAAACATTGAGGTGAAGACAGTAGGTGTAGTCACCATTAGTTAAATAGTACCGTCGTTGAATTCTATCTAACAAACGCAAAGGGGTTACTGCGCTGCAGAAAGATTCGTATAGGAAGTGATTGTGTTGTGTTTTCGTATGCCCACTAAGATTGCACTCGATTTCATGTGGTATTTTTTTATGAAACATGTTGTGGCGAAGGATGTGTTGCGTTTCAGGGTTAGAAAACGGTTGTGTGTGGGGACGAAATAGTAGACTTTTGCTAGTTGAGGGATTGTGAGTGGGTGTGAGACTGGACACTGTGAATAAACCACTTGTTGTGACGAGTTTTAGGCGATGTGATGGTGTGTTGGACGAAGTATCTTGGCGTATGAATGCAAGGGAGGGTATCTATGCGGATGTAGCGTGTCCCGGGTGGGTTATTTTGCTGTGTATCACGTTTTCATGTAGACTTACTGTGACACGGAAAGTGAGAACGGATGAGATATAGTTGTCGTGGATCCCTGTCAAGTCTGATGCTTGATCTGACGGTTTGTAGTCAGCTTGTGTTTCAGCTAGTTAGTGTTGAGAGATTCGCCGAGACTCCTTTGGATATGATTAGTCATTGTTGACGGATGCATGAAGACAAGAGAGAGAATTGTCTGAGTCTGGTAATTATTTTTGTCTGGCTTTTGTTAGCCAACAAGTAAGTGGTGTCTAATTTTCTGAATGACTGGTGTTGAGATGGCGACAAAATGGTGCGTTCATGTGGTAAGTTAGTGATATTTCTGACCTAACTCATTTATCATAGACTCTTGACACTGAATGACTGGGCATACTGAAGAGGGGTTTTGATGAGTCTTCGTGGAATATAAAGTGCCATTAACAGGTTAGTTTTCGACTAGGACAAATTCTAGTTTTCATTGTCTTTGTCTTACTGAATATATGCTATGTGGTGAGTGTATGACACCTCTTATGAGATGATAGTGATTCGTCTTTCACACTGACTGCTTGTCTAAATTGATTCTCACATGTTGTTTATCTTTTCAGATGTCAGTGGTGCACACTGGGTAAGTAGGCAAATTCAAATTGTCATTCAATGATGAATTAATTGCGTGTCATATGAACTATCATTGATATGCACTATTAATCTGATAGAAATTCCCAGTTAGCAACTTTTCTATATTTCAATGCTATCATCAGAACGACAAATCTTGTTGCTAAATATTTATTTATTTTCCTTCCTTTTTTACATTGTTACCTAGTTGAGTTGGAGCAAGTTACCGTGAAGTTGTTGTTTTGGTGACATGTTGGGCGTATATGGACGAATGCGGCTTTCCGTTTGGCGACTTATAGGCTGGAATGGTTCCTACCAGTTGTTATAGTGCCACTGCATTCTGGTAGTCTGGGAAGAAAAAACTCTGATGTTACTTGTGATGAACAGTGTTTAGTCGAGTGTATAAAGCAATGTAAAGTATACATGTTATGTAGAACGAAACCAGTTTTCATTTGTTTCCGTTGTTTATCACGTCATCACTTGGGGCTATCCATGTTAGTGTATAGCTTGTAGTGCTTTAGTTTACATTTATGTAAAATGACGTCTTAAGAGATAATGGTTTTTTCACGTTTACGTGAAATACGTCGTCTACAAACGCAAGTTTGTACTGACACTAGAGGGGAATCAGGACAACAAGTATATCTTTTAAAATACGAGATATTCTGTGATCAGAAGTGTTAAACAATGAGGATTGCTAAACTAGCTATGGGTTGTGTCTTACCGTAGCATGACAGCGTGATGAATGGTGAATAGGCTTAACCGCATACCTTCAGCCCAATAAGTCGTCCTAATCAGTAAATGTAAGCATTCAGTATGTTGAGTTAGGAAACCTATAGACTAATAATTTTAAACAGTTATGTACGGCTGTAACGACAGAAGGCAAGAGTCAGGCAACAGATCATTTATTAAGGAAATCAACGCATATTTATATATTTTCACGTACATTACTATGGATATTTAAGCAAACAAACACAGTCTTCCGATTGGTTGTTTTCACGTAAAGTTAATCTTTCATCTATTTGTGACTGTTTCTTGAATGTCAAATCCTCTATATGTTAACTGCATCCGCCTACGCAAAGTCTGCTGTGGTCGGTTTTGAATCAATCTTTGTTCACATTTTCTCACGACAAATCTTGGGAACGTAAATATTGACGTAAATTACTGTCTACCAATTTGGCTAGTAGACAGCTCTCACCACATGGCTACAGCCCACTTCCGCCTTAGTGGGGTCATGGTGGTGGCACCACCAATAAATCTCTTCCTGTGGGCGTGATGACAGTGAGTTGCTCACTGGTCGTACACGTATGGCAATTTTATTCTTTAACGTTCGTTTGCTTCTCCAGAGCCCATCGCATCTATAGAAGAAAACATGAATGCTGGGAACTTTGTTGGAAAAGAATTACTGAAAACAATGGTTGGTTTGGGACATACAATGCGATAAAATGTGAAAAGAGAGGACATTGAGAAAAACATTAATTTATTTTCTAAAGCACTTGACATGGTACATGTAAAGTCATAAAAAATACATTTAACCTATGATGCAGGATAGTGTAAACTAATCCACGTGTATGTAAGGAAGTTCTATAAGAATAAAAGATTACTTCTAAGAAAATTGACGTCTTTTCATCCTACAGACTAAATGACTGAGTTTCAACATAGAACTTAACAATGATTTGCACCATTTGAAGTTACCACACTCCATGTAGCAGTCAAAGGCAGAAAAATAAAGAGGAAAAATGAGGTCCTAAAGAACTACAATAAACAGGAAATTGAGGGGAAAGAATAGTAACATGGAAGAACACTGGTGTTTGATGAATATGGGCTGGGGATACTTGTGACAAAATGAGAATTAGTGTCGCGTGACCACAGCCCAGATGACAACTGCCTGAGGCTAGTCACCCAAGGCCTGTTTGCGTTCACCTTACTGTGTAAGATAAGTGTAAAGATGCTTTAGGAACTTCAGAACGTTCTGTCGCCGTCACGGTGCTGGTTACCTCTTTGTGTACTGGCGGGTATCTTGTCAGTTTTAAACAAACGATACTATCACGGTCTTCGTAACTCTTCTTGCCTGAAGTGAAGTTTGGATAGACTATGGTTTCCTTACCCAGCAACAAACTTTGAATGAAGTAGGTAGTTCCTTTGATAGACACTGTGGTGGTACCACCTATCATTCAACGTTGGCAGACATCTACGAGTAGGTCAAAATAGCAAGGCTGACTCGTGAAGTGATATTAATGTTTACGCAAATTACGATGTTTACGAATGCAAGTTCTTATCCTCCAACTCCTGTAGTATTTGTTCTGCCCTGACCAAAGACGAATCAGAACGTCAAATCGATCGTATAAAATACGAGATGTACTCGGGTATTAGAATAGTAGTAGGTGATTGCTGCGCTAGCTGAGGACTGTGTAAAAACGAACGTAACACGACAGTATGCCAAGTAGCGTGGATGCTTGCTTGACTGTTAACTTTCGGCTCAACAAGTCGATGCAAACAGTGAAGGTCAACATCCAGTTTTGAGTAAGGAATGCTCTAGACTAATTTTGAGAAATTATTTACTGCTGCAGTCTGACAACCAAGGATGCATCATATAGCTTTACAATAAAAGATATACAGAAATAAACTGTGCCGAACAATATGAATAAGTTTAGTGAATTAGTAGAAAGTAACTGAAACATGGTCAGCATAAAGTGTCTATCGTCTCAATATTTATTATCCGATTACATTTCTTATGCGAAATTCCCGTTTGTTTTTCTCATTATTAAGTTTATGGATTCCTATTTTTAATCTTTTTGTCTGTTATAATAATAATAATAATTAATAATGGGACTTTCTCATCCTTTTACCAAATAAACACAAATGTACAGCCTAGTTGATGTCTTCATCAAGAAGAAGAAGGGTTTCTTCGCTTCAGTCGATGTAGTAGGTATGCTCCGGAAAATGAATGAAAACGTAAAAGCACGAAACCTCAACTAAAATATATGAAGAATACAAAAGGGCTCACAAATAATTACGCTCACAGCATGTTAGAAAATGTAATTAAGGTTTAACGAGATTAATCTATTTCAGGCACAGACAACAAGTGACACAAGATGCCAAATTTGATTTCAGACATAGGGAAAGAAGGAGAAATCCTTCTTTTGGTGAACAGACAAGGAAGGAGGGGAGACAGCATAATACTCATCTAGTTCAATAAGAAATCACGTATAATATGGGCAACAAACATCAGAGGCTATCACCAGAAGTTTTGTATATTTTCCAAGCTAATAAGCACTAAGACAAGGTGAGAAAGTTGACATCAAACACCAGGAAGTTGAATAGATCCTCAGTTTGATGAATAGGCAAGGAAAGATGATGGACAGCATAATACGCATCAAACTAAATTCAAACCCAAGCAGAATTCTGCGAATTTAGATTTGGGAATGGCTCTCAAATCCTAATCTTAACCGCCTAACCCAAATGGAATCTCTAACCTTAGCCCCGGTCAAACTCCAAATCAACATATCCAAAATAATACACCTAGGCGGCACCACTCAGGAAGGTGCTGAGGATATATGTGAGGTGTTTAGCACGCACTTTGCCAAACTATACACTCTAGAAAATGACCAGGATATTGATTTCCCTCGTAAAACAGAAAAGTGTTTAAGCGATGTAGTCTTCAACGCCCAATAAATCGATAAAGCTATCGCAACTCTTAAGCTTACTAATACCCTCGGCCCAGATGGAATGTCTTCCATCCTCTTAGAAAATGGTAGAAATGACATGAACCTAGTCTCCTCAAGATATTTACAACTTCGCTAAAGGGTGGAACATATCCAATTAGCTGGAAGAAATCTTACGTTGTACCCATTCACAAAACTGGACCTACAGCAGACATAGATAACTACCGCCCCATCAACATCACCTCCGTGGTTTCACGTGTGATGGAAAAGATTGCAAAGAAGCAAATTCTTCAGTTTTTGCTTTCGAATGACCTAATATCCCCTTTCCAATACGGTTTCTTAACTAGAAGGTCGTGCATCACTTGCCAGTTAGATTATTTCGACCACATAACTGAATGTGTAGACAAAGGTCGTTCGGCAGCAACACTATTTCTAGATGTTAGGAAAGCTTTTGATAAGGTCCCACATAAGAGACTCATATTGAAACTCCTATTTTATGGAATAAGTGGAAGGCTATTCGAGTGGATAACTTCCTTTCTAACAGGAAGAGAACAGTTGGTTCAAATCAACCATCACTTATCTACATCCAAACCAATAACCAGCGGCGTGATACAAGGTAGCGTTCTTGGTCCTACCCTATTCATTGTATTCATAAATGATATTGTCTCTGTGATCAAGTATGGCAAGCCGTACCTCTTTGCAGATGACCTCAAAGTTGTAGATGATTTTGACTATAATGATATAAACATTGCTAGTAAAATCCAACAAGACCTGAATAGTCTATGTAACTGGAATGAAAAGTGGCAGTTAATATTCAATCCAGCTAAGTCTGGGATAACATACTTCGGACGTTGGAAACCTAGCATGTGTCTATACATATACGGTGACCTTGTTTCAAACACGAACACCATCACAGATCTCGGTGTAACATACTCAAATCTCACCTTTACTGAACATGCAAATAAGGTGGCATCTGACTGCAAACGTCTAACCGGCTTTGTGCTACGCGACTTTTACACTCCAGAAGCTAGATTGGCTATATATAAGATATGTATTCGCCCCAAACTTGCATACTGTGCCCACTTATACAGTAGCTTTAAATCAGCAAACAGAAAAAAAGTTAAAAGTGTCCAAAGATTCCTGACGAAACGCATATTAGGCTATGATCAGCAAATAGAATACCTTGACAGGTGTATTCGACTGGACTTAGAACCCTTATGGTTAAGGAGAGTGAAGTGCAACTTATTTCTCTTCTTCAAAGTTATAAGAAAGCACTGTAACAGCAACTCATCCATAACGTGGGCTAATCTTAAATCGTATGAACTACGCAACCATGACTACCTTCTCAAGGTTAACACCCATAAACTCACCACTAGAGCTAACTTTTTCACTATTAAATATTGCAAACTTTGGAATCAGCTACTCTCTGAGATTAGATCCTGTGAAAGGCCTGACAGTTTTAAAAGGAGCCTAGAAAAACATATTAATTTGTCCACCCTAGCCCGTCTAGAAGATCACAACTGCTGGTAGAGTGGGGAGACAATGACATTTCAATATTTAACTACGGAAAGCACACTAGTCCCAATACTAATATAATAATACTTAGTAATTATGCATAGTCAATTCTTGACATTTGATTGTCATTGCAATACTTAAAATGATTAAAATATTTATGCAGCAAATGTTCTCTTGCTTTACCATGCTTGTTTCGCTTATGGCACTCAATTATTGAGCTTAATGTATTCTTTGATAATACGAATTATAATATAGATTACACTC